AGTACATAGCTCTTATTGACTTCTCTACAATCTTAAAGCCCATAATGTCAGCTGTTTATTTTTTATTTTCTACCAGCTAATAAATGCATTGTCGTGAATCAGGTGTTCATTCAATGTTCATTTGGTCCTCTCTGTTGGAGCCCTTCTTTGATACCACATCGCAATGGCTTACTCACAGGACACAACTGGGTATACATTGTCAAAACCGGTTTTGGAAATGCTGGATAAATGATAGGAAGCAAGAGATGAAATTAAGATTCAAATTGATAGTAGATAAAAGTGCAATTCCTGGATGTAAATGTTGAAATTATTAAAAAACATAGAAAACAAATATTTTACAAAGGTGGAGCTCAATTGTGTATCAAACCGAAGAAATTAAAGGAGAAAGGCAGTAGTATTATACAAGATACCCATCTTCTTTCTACCCTTATCCACCCTGCTCTGCTTTCTTGGTGGCCAATAGTATAGACAGTACCAAGAGTTTCTGCGGGCTCCCTGTGATGACCTAGATCTTAGAAGTAAAGTAAACCTAGATGACCTAGATCTGGGATGACTTAGATCTTGGAAGTAAAGATCTTGGAACTTGATCCTCATCTTGAACATGCATGCTGCAAGAAACAATGCAGTTGTTTTGTTTTGGGGCAGGGGCTTGTTTTTGTTTTTGTTTTTGTTTTTGCTAAAATACCTACACAGAATTCTTGCAGCAAAAATAGTTTAATTTTGGTTTCTGTATTTTTCAGCTTTTTAAAACATCACCAGACAACAGCTGGCCTACGTGGGTTGAGTATAGCCAAGTGGCACAGAATTATCCCCAAGGAACTTATATCCCTTGTGGTTAAATGACTATCGAGGTTCCTTATTGAAATTATCCATTCATAAGTATAAAAGGCTTATCTTTACATATCTAAACCTGTTTGTTAGGGAAAAGTGTTCCTACTGATATAAAGCCTAACTCAAGGAGTTGCTCTCAGAATAGCACTTGATTCTGTTTATAATAAAGTGTTCTAATGGGATTTAGCCCCTCCACAAGCAAGTTAGCATAAAGCGATGCAGAACAGGATTATTTGAAAGTGAAGGTAAAGACACTAATTCACCTCCAAGTCTCTGGCTTTCCTCCTTCAACATCATTGTTAGTATCACCAGTAGTGCTCCACATTTCGAAAGGTAAGAACTTTCCAGCTGTCTCTTGTCTCCCAGCCTTCAAGTCCTCTGAGCTCTTGACTTAACTCACTCTCAATTATTTTGCTCTTTCACCAAGTCTGATTCTTATGCTGAATTCCCAAATTTTATTGTTTTTGAGATATCTTTGCTTGGATGTTTTATCTCAACAATGCATAATTGGAGCTGTGCTATCTAATGCACGTATTTTTTCCCCAAATTTATTTTTTTTCAATTGACAGACAAAATTGTATGTATTGATCATGTACAACATAATGTTTTGAAATATATATATATATATACTGTAGAATGGTTAAATCTAGCTAATTAACTTATGCATTGCCTCACACACTCTCAGCATTTTTCAAGAATAAAATATAATGTCATTAACTATAGTCACCATGCTATAAAATAGATATCTCGAACTTATTCCTCCTGTCTAACCATAATGTTGTACCATTTAATGAACATCTCTGCAATTTACACCCTTCCTCCCTGTCCCACCAACCACCCCGGTCTGGTAGCCACCATTCTACTCCTCCTCCTTCTATGAGATCTACTTTTTTAGATTCCACTTATGAGTGAGATCATACAGCATTCGTCTTTCTGTACCTGGCTTATTTCACTTAACATAATGTCTTCCAGGTTCATTCATGTCACAAGTGACAAGATTTACTTGTTTTTTATGGCTTAATGGTATTTCTTTGCATACATTTACTACATTTTCTTTATTCATTCATCTGTTGATGAACACTTAGATTGTTTCTGTATCTTGGCTACTGTGAATTGCACTACAGTGAACATGGGAGTGCAGATATCTCTTTGACATTTTGCCATTTCTCTCAAAAACAAAGTACAAAACAAAAAGTTATTTTTGCATCCTCCCTAATATTTAAATTATGTTTTAAATTAGCTACAAAAGACTTTGTGGAATCTGGGGGGGTTCCCCCCTAATGCAACATATTTATCCCATATTTTTAAATATATTGCAATTTTCTTTCTCATTTCAGTTCTGGACACCCCTGCCCCCACCTCCCACCACCCCCAAGACATAGATAAGGATTATTACAGGCTTTGGAAACAAACAGACCTGGGTCCGTAAACTTACTAGACAATTTCTATGGTGTAAACCTGAGCAAACAACTTAATATAACTCATCTGGAAAACAGAGATGATATTAAAATAACATAACAAGAATCATAGCACAGAAGCTGGCTCAATATTAGTTTCCATTCCTTCTTTCCTAGACAGATAGAGCCATCTCTTCACTTACAATCCAATGTCTAACCTTATTCAACTGTCCTTAAGCTATATGTGAAGAACCAGACTTTCAATATTTGTATTTTCAATTTGTCATGAATGAATACTAACACCTAACTTGTGCCATATGTGACTTACAAGTATGACAGCTCTCAGCCATATTTATCATCTTTCCATACAGATAATTCCACTGATTGCATTCTTAGATGACCTGACAATGTAAAATCACTATAAAAATTTTATAATCAGGAGTGACAGATTGGCAACGGATAGTTCATAGTAAGGCATTTGTCCACAGACCACAATTTGCACTAACCCAGTCCATATTTCCATCCAGCCTCCCAAAACTATGTTCAGTTACCACAGTGATCAGAACACCCTGCTCAAAATAATTATTAGCACTCTTCAAGCACTGTATATAAATTAATAAAATGTCATAAAGGCCCAACATAAACTCATTTGACAAATGAAAAAATATTAAATCATATGCAATATGCTGGTAGCTCAGTACTGCCATTTTTTTACGTAATACAAACAGGGCATTATGGCTCTTACAAATTTTCTTTACATTGCTTTGACTAAATCACTATCTAATTGTAGTTGATTTTTCTCAAAATCTGGGTTTAATTCCAGATTTTGAGACAATTCCTCAGTGAGTCCCCAGTTTTTAATTTCCTTCATCTTTTCTGCTAGTCTCTTTACTCTCTCTCTCATCTCTTTAACCATGAAATGGAATATTTTACCATTTTAGGGAATATTAAGACTGTCTCTGCATTTGAGAATAGCATAAGATAACAAGCCCCTTTTCTAAATTTAATAAATTCAGCACAGTCTAGTTAGTACTATGTTATATTGCCTCTAAATATAATCCACAACAATGGAATGTTTATTTTGAGGATTAAATAAATGCCTATAATTGACATTCAATAAATATTTGTTGAAAACTTAAGTAGATGAGAGATGTATATGACACACAATAAATGTTTCTTCACTGGTAGGTGTTGTTATTAATATATTTTGAAAAATAAAAATGCTTACTCAAATGAAATATTGTCTTAAGGATTTAAAATCATGTCACCAAATGTCATTTCTACCTCACTGTATATCAACCAACATTAAGAGAGTATCAGTTTTTTGGACCCTAATGATAGTTAATAATCTTTAGCAAATTATAAACAGTTACTTTAAGTAGGACTTTTATATTGCTAGTGACATTGAATATTTTGACATACTAATTAACCACTATCATTTTTTCTAGTAGAAATTGTTCACTCATGGTATTTGTGTATTTTTCCTATTGTCATGTTTTTATTGGAATCCTCACAGTATGCCAAATGTGTTATCTCTATCAATAATGTCAATGCTTCAAATATATTTCTAAGTGTGTTATTATCCTCTGAATTCCATACATTTTTATCTTATGTGTTTTCTTCTAAAGATAATGTATATATCATAGTAGTTGATAGCACAGCCACAGTTTCAAACCCAAGTTGCACCACTTCCTGGCTTTGTAACCAGGAGCAATGTTTTCAAATTTCTAAACTATGGGTTATATCTCTTTGATAACTTCAGATTGTTCCTCTACAACAACAGGATCTCTCTTCATCTTGCTGTGAGGACATTTATAACAAAACCTCTCACGTCTTATGTAATCAATTCATGTCACATACATAATGTGACATTTTGCCTGAATGTTTCTGTAACAGCCTAAAGGCAGGAATTAGTATTAACAATAGTTATGACAGTTATTTTTCTCTTGATTTTAACAGTGGCAGATACCATACTACTAAGCTAGATTTTACAGTTATACATTTAAGAAAGCGTTGATATCCAGATTCATTGAAATGGAAACACTTTTCTTCAGGTAAGCACATATAATCAGTGAGAGTGAACTGGCATTTTCTAAGGTGGATTCATAATATCTCTGCAGTAGACATTCAGTTTGATTGATATCCAGATTCATTGAAATGGAAACACTTTTCTTCAGGTAAGCACATATAATCAGAGAGAGTGAACTGGCATTTTCTAAGGTGGATTCATAATATCTCTGCAGTAGACATTCAGTTTGCTTAACAAATAATGGTAAATAACTTTCATTTATTAACTTCACACTATTATTCCTCAATTTCAATGAAAAATTAGTTAATTCTCCTCCTAAGCCAATACCTAATAATTAGTGACTAAAATAATTATAGTTATTATTATAAAAATAATATTGTTATAATTGTTATAACAATAATATTGTAACTTATTATTGCAACATTATTGTATTATAATTATTATATAATAATATTATTATTATTATAATAACAATAAATAATAAACAATAAATATCTACTGAGAAATGCACTTTATCGAGCCAAGATTAACACAAAATGAACCTTTTCTTCATGGGCAAATGCTAAGAAGATCTAATAATCAAGTTGAAGAATAAATAATTAACACTCAAAATTTGGCCAAGAATGTAAAATTATAAATGATGAATGCCAAATGTTTCCATTTAAAATAAAAACAGATACTAAATACATTTTTATTTCAGGATATCAAGATATTTTAAGAGAATTCTGATCCTGCAGACCATAATGTCAGTCTTCCATAATTCTACTTCTCCTACTTTCCTCCTGACGGGAATCCCTGGACTCGAATGGGCCCATGCCTGGATCTCCGTTCCCTTCTGCTGCCTCTATTTAACTGCACTTTCTGGGAATACCTTGATCCTGTTCATAGTCCTCACTGAGCCCAGCCTCCATGAGCCCATGTACTATTTCATCTCCATGTTGTCCATCTCTGACTTGGGTTTATGCATCTCTACACTGGTGACAGTGCTGGGAATATTCTGGCTCAATGCCCGGGAGATTAGCTTTAATGCTTGCTTATCCCAGATGTTCTTCATTCATTTTTTCACTGTCACGGAATCTTCGGTGCTCCTAGCTATGGCCTTTGATCGTTTTGTGGCCATTTCTAATCCTCTGAGATATACTTCTATCTTAACTGAACTTAAAATAGCACAAATTGGCACAGCAGTTATCACCAGGGGGACCCTAGTACTAACACCTGCTGTGGTGCTTCTTAAGCGTCTGTCCTTCTGCCGCAGCCATGTGCTCCACCATTCCTACTGCTTCCACCCTGATGTGATGAAGCTCTCATGTTCAGACACAAAGATCAACAGTGCCTTTGGACTAACTGTAATCATCTCTACTGCTGGAGTGGACTCCTTCTTTATCCTGCTCTCCTATGTCCTGATCATCCGCTCAGTGCTCAGCATTGCGTCCCCTGCGGAGAGGAAGAAGACCTTCAGCACCTGCATCTCTCATCTCTGTGCCGTGGCCATTTTCTACATCCCATTGATCAGCTTGTCTTTTGTTCACAGATTCGGAAAACATGCCCCACCTTTTGTGCCCACCCTCATTGCTAATGTGTACTTGCTCATCCCACCTGTGATGAATCCTATCATCTACAGTGTGAAAACTAAGCAGATTCAGAAAGCTGTGCTCAAACTCCTCTATTCCAAGAGAACACAGATTTAACATTTACTACTCTTAGAAAGTTCGTCCAAAGTCTTTAAAATACATCACAAATTGGAATTACAAACCCATGTCATTCTAGAGTGGGTGCAGCTAGATGTTACCTAGTTCAAACTCCCAGTGAACTTACCTTTGTATAACGTTCTTTCCTTTTTTATTACCATGTTTGTAATTCAAACCTTGACTCCTCTTAAATACCCAGCTAAATAGCTATAAGCTTATCCCATCCCACACCCATCTGATTTTGCTTCTCTAAACTGTTATGGTTTTCTAGGTTAATATTCCAAACGTCCCATTCTGTCACACCACTATTTTTGCTTCAAAATAAAAACACCTTCTAGATCTATGTGCTCAGAAAATTGAAATAACGTACCATTGCTCTAGTTCTCAAGAATTTTCACAACCTGGACTTAGCTCATTTTGTTTTACTTTAAATCACACTCTTTTCTGTTGACTAACTCTGCCTCTTTACAAAATAAGCTGTTATTTTTTCACACGCACTCCGCTCTTTTCTTCCTCTACCTTTATTCATACGTGTTAACTTCTCGTGGAATCCCCATAATGGTCCCCCTGTCATCTTAAAATTTTATCTGTTTTGCAAGGACTGTCTTAAATATTATCCACATTAATGTTTTTCATGACCAATACTCAGGATCTTATCCTTTCTTCCATAACATTTTAATAATAATTTACCTGTATCTTCTTATTGCACATTTGATTATGATGTCTCCCACAAGACTGTACATTTCCTAGGATAAACAAAAGTCTTATTTTCTTTGAACACTTGGAGTTCCTAGTGAAGTACCTTCACAGAAGAGGTACTCCATAAATGTTTGTTTAATTAACTTGAACACAACACATTTTCACCCTGTACATATGAACACTTGCAAATATAATCCAGCCAATTCCATTAATTGGACTTCTAGCTTAATTTTTAAAAATCTCATGCAAACCCAGTTTTTCTCATTATATAATAAAAAATAATAGTAATTGTAACTTTTATAAATTATCAAGTCCAAGGCTACTGGGGATTCTAATATTACGATCCTTGAGACTTACCTGCTTACACAGCTTGTAGCCAAAAGCCATGAGTAAACACTTTACCAGATTTTGGTCATGAGGCATTTTAGACAGATGGCTTGGCCTTTTCTTTCATCCCAAACATATCTTGAATGTTCTTTCTTCTTTCCAGCAACATTTCAGTACTTATATTCAACATATGAAAATCCCTTAGTTAATTATAGCAACAGTTTTCTAGAGGTCCCCTGACCTGCCTTATTCTATTCTTTAATTCTCCACTGTCATCAAAGTGATGATTTTTACTTTTCTTAAATTAAATTTTAATTATATATGAAATACATTCAAACATTATTATTGAAAAATATGGCATTATAGAAACACTAAAATTGTTCTTGACTGCCTCCTCTGCATTAAATTGTTCACCAAAAACAGATACATCTGACTTAAGTAAAAAGAGTTTATTTTGAAAGTTATCTCAGAAAGCACAAGTGAGAGAATGGGGAAAGGGAGTCAGAAAGTGGAGGAAAAGTCAAAGAAAGTGTGCATTAATGAGGGGTAACCACTCTAGACATCTGAATCTCAGTCCTTGTAAGATCACTTGAGTAACTAAATAAAGTAAACCTCAGAATTTTCCCACTAGAGGACAGTGAATCAAACAAACTATCTACTCAGTTCTGTTTTCAGGGATGGAAGGTCAATCCTGGGGGACATTAACTCCCTTGAACTGCCAGGTTGTACCAGGACATAGTAAACTCCTCCAACACCAGAGGAAAGTCCCCAGGTAGAGAAGTGGAGAGTAGACACTGAAGATTGAAAGCTGTCGGTATAATGAAATTTGCCTTCTGGGGCTGAAGGAGAACTGAGAAGGGCACTAAGCACATGCTGGGTTGAGAACCTGTATCATCTGCCACAACCCATATAATCACCAGATTCATTGGTGCCCCATATTGAGTCCACCCCACACTAATGCCTCAGCATGTTGGCTGATCAGTTTGTAAGAAACATTCAATAAACAACATTTTGTGGGAGAAAAAATGGTCCCTTCAACTGCAGTTAGTCCGGAGGCCATAACTAATATTCATCACTATCCTTTACCAATTTTTTCAGGATTCCCCTCACTCTCAGCCACTTCTAATAATTTAAGTTTCTGCCCATTGGAGTGATCTAGTCCTTTAACCCCATAAAATTTAAGTCCCTGGTTACATTTTCCTGACTGGTCATAGCTTCTACAATTGTCCATTTACTCATTTTGTTTTAACAGCTTTATTGAGATGTAATTGATATACAAATAAACTGCACATATTTCATGTGTACAATTTCATTAGTTTGGGTGTATTCATACACTCATGAAACCATCACAACAAGAAAGGTAATAGACATATTTGTTGCCTTCAAAAGTTTCCTCATGCTCCTTTAGGTTTTTGTTTATTTGGTTTGGTTTGATTTTTGTAGTAAGAACATGTACCATGAGATCTACCATCTTCATAAATTCTTTAAATGCACAAAACAATGTTATTAACTATAGCCATAATGTTGTGCAGCAGACCTCTAGAATTTACGCATCTTGCATAAATGAAATTTATACCTTTTGAAAACAACTTTCTATTTCCCCAAAATTTCCCTTTTATTACCAGTCATTAAACACTAACAGTTGCCCCAATGAGTTCTCCAAACTTCAGACATAATCCTTCTTACTCCATTATGTAGCAACAACCCTAGTTCCTCATGATAATGAGTCAATTACTTCGCCAGCATAATGTTTTTTTTTCTTCCTACTGTTTTACTGGTGTGAGTATAAGTTACCAGACAGCTTTAGTTTCATTAGAACTTTTACCAGGCTCCAGAGTCTAATGTTGCGGTGAAAGAAATCAGATGCCCCAAGAAATTCACTGGTGTTATGGCAAGAAAAGCCAATACTATTTCCAACCCTTGGTTTCCAAGCCATGACTTTAACTGCTGGTGACAAAACATCACATAATGGCTTTTTTTTTTTTTTTGTCTTTTGTCTTTTTTCCGTGTCCGGCAACAGATCGCAACCCTCAGTGTTGCCCCCGTACCGGACCGGGGACCGGCAACGGGATTGCAACCCTCGGTGTTGCTCCCGCGCCTCGCTCAGCCAGTGAGCGGGAACCTGTCTGTATGTGGGATCCGAACCCTCGGCGGGAGCGCCGCCGCGCTTCCCAAGCAGCGCACTATCCAATGCGCCACCGGGCCGGCCCATGTTCATTAATTTTTGTTTGTTTGTTTTTCCTACCCTACTGTTCCAAAACTAAGAAGGAAATAGTGTCAAAGATTATGTATTTTTCTAGAGTACTGAGTACCTAATAAATATCATTATAATGCGCCACCGGGCCGGTCCCAACACATAATGGCTTTTGGATCAGTGAATTAGGATGAACCATAGGACAGTTCCCAGTGATTCATCCTTAATATTATACTTCAGTTGAGCCTGTAAGAGACCATACCAATGTTCTAACAGTCCAACAGTTTCATGGGGATGCAGTATATGGAAAGATCAATTGATTTCACGGTCATGTGCCCATTTTCACATCTTCTTTACCATAAAAATGTGTCCCTGAAATAATGGTAATGAAAGAGGAAGGCACTATGTATGGGCAGAAAAAGCAAACCCATATTCAAGAATAAGGTGTAATTCAAGCAAGCGTGTATTGCTGCTGCTTCAGATGGAAGACATCTTATGCAATCAACTTGCCAACAACTTGTTGGTTTCTCCCCTATCAGTATTTTACCATATGGAAGATATAACATCAACTCCTGCTGCTAGCAGGTACACATTGGCAGCAGCAGTAGGTGGATTAGCACTGAGTCATCCTGGTTCCCCGCCTTTCCACTGCATCCTCTATGGCAGGTGCTCTCCTGTGCAGATTTATATGAGCTAAAACCATCCAGTTACTTTATGCCCAGTCTCATGGGCCTTTTTCCATGTTCCTTTTCCAGATCTCATTATCTTCCATCTTTAATTTCACTGCTCCAGGCCCTTGAGTCACCAGCAAAATAATTCTCCACTGCCCAAGAATCTTCATATATCTTATGTTCATATATCTTAGGTGCTTTCTCCTTTAAAAAAAATGACATAATAAAGTGAAATGCTAAAACCTTGGCCTATTGGAAAGATTTTTTCTCACCAGCAAAATAATTCTCCACTGCCCAAGAATCTTCATATATCTTATGTTCATATATCTTAGGTGCTTTCTCCTTTTAAAAAAATGACATAATAAAGTGAAATGCTAAAACCTTGGCCTATTGGAAAGATTTTTTCTCACTTTTAGCCTGTTTGACTACTTCTGAGGATGATATAGTTTGGCTAGCCCAATCTACCAAACTGAGTCATTCTAAAACCATGTCTGATTGTTTCTCCTCTGTTATATAGCTATATGGAATTTTCTAGGAAATTAAGTCTAAGTACTATCTTTTTTAATTTTTATTTTAACTTACACATTGTAATTGTACATACTTACAGGGTACAGTCTAATGTTTTGACACATATATATATATGTGTGTGTGTGTTATATAATGATTGAGTCAGGGTAGTTAATCCATCAATCACCTCATGCATTTATTATTTCTTTATGGCAAAAACATTCAAAAGCCTCTCCTCTTGCGATTACATAACATACAAAACGTAACTGTTAACCATAGTCACCCTACTTTGCAGTAGAACTTGTTCCTCCTATTTAATTGTAATTTTGTACCCATTGGCCAGCCTCTCCTTCTTTCCCTCCCCAGTCTCAGGTAACCACTGTTCTACAGCAACACGGTTGGACGTGGAGGTCATTACGTTAAGTGAAGTAAGCCAGACACAGTTAAATTATTCTTAAGTATGAGATATGCTGTCTCTAAAAACCAAACAGGTCTACCAAGTGCTTTCCTCTTTCTTAATGGTAAAAGTACAAGGTAAAATCATCTTCCTTTCTCTTTTGAGGTAACATCACAGGATTGCAAACACCTAAACTTCACTAAAC